ATAAAATAAAAAAAATGATGTAATAAATTTAAGTATGTGTATTCTATATTGTAATTTATGTTTCATTAGCTAATAAAATCTCTTGTAAATAATAAATATACAAATTATAATAAAGTAATTATATATTTATAAAAATAAAAATATATATATATAAATTATATATATATTTTAATTATAAAAATTAAAATATATATTTATTAAACTTAAATAATTATAAAGCAATATTAGTTGCGTTCCTTGCACATAAAACTCTAATCAAATAAAATTATGTTAATTTATTTTACTTGGACAAGTTATATTGTGGTAACAACTTGTAATTTCAATGCTGTTTCCAACACATGAATTCACTGCACTATTACATACTCTTGTTCTACTAATGCTTCCATTACCACAAGATACGTCACAACTTGACCATATGCTCCAATTTGACCAACCTGTCTCAAATACTTGTAAAAAAAAAAAGATTATACAAACAAAATTATTTTTACAGACTATTCTGTCTTCAAACTACATAAAAGGTTTTTTTAAGTAAGTAAAAACATTTTAATATAGAAAAAAACACTACAACAAAACATTATTTTTTCTTATTGTTTTCAAAAAGAGTTCAGAAGTGGAGTTTTAAACATCAAACACAGTGGTTGATGATAGTTTTAAACATCAAACACATTTGTGATTGGTTGATGATAGTTTTTTTTATTATTCTTCTATTATAACTTTTACCAAAAGTTCTTTAACTTATTAAATGCTTTTAATAAAAAATTTTATAAACTATTTTATCTGGACAAGTTGTGTTGTGGTAACAACATTTTTTTTTTTTTTTTTTAATATTTTAATTACTCTGCTAAGGGAATTTTTTCTTCTTTTTGCCTTTGTTTAGCTTTTTGCTTTTGTTTTGTAGTTTCAAAAATTTAATTTTTTTTTTTGAGTAAATTTTTTTGTGGAGAATTTTGTTTAGGTAATTTTTGATTTATTGCATGAGTAGTTGTAAACTCTGTTAAGTCTTTATTTAAGATGAGACTTTTTAGTGTATATTAAACTATCATTGTATAGTTGATTCTATTTTTTCTCTTACTTTTTATCAACACAATTAATTCAAAAAATAAAGGCACTGCTTCCTGTTTTCTTAGTAATCAAAATCTTTTAATTTCAAATGATATTTCTTGGCTGTAAAAAATTGCCTAACTTGTTGCTTTTTTAATTGCTGCATGTTTAAAACATGCATCATAATAGAGTATTTAAATTGCAAAACATTATTTTGCAGTGTAAATATTCCTAAGAAAAGTTATAAATTTTCTAACACATGAATTGACTACACCATAACACACTCTTGTTCCTTTCATACACCCATTATCGCAAAATACATCACAACTACACCATGTGTTCTAATTTGCCCAGTTTGATTGAAATGCTTGAAAAAGTGAAGAAAAAAAAAATACAAAAAATTTTAGGCAGACTTATCATAAAGCATCTTTATGCATCAAACATTGTAAGGTTTTTTTTTTAAATCTCTTCTTTTACTTAAAATAACTTTGTTACTGTTACTTTAAAATAACTTTGTTACCTTGTTATTTTGTTTATTTAAAACAACTTTGTTAACTGGTGATTAATGGAGATAAATCTACTTACACCATTATTTTAGAAATCTAAAGATTTATTTTACCAAATGAGAAATAAATCTAATGAGGTATAAAAGTTTTTTTTTTAAATTATATAAATTAAAAAACTATTATAAATAAAAACAAACAAATAGAGCTCTTCTATTTATTTGTTGAACATTTTTTATCAAAAAAATTTAATTTAACTACTCAACATAACACAATTTCTGAAATAATAATAATGTATATAATAAATATAAAAATATATATAATAAATAATATATATATATAAATATAATAATAAATATAGTAAATAATACATATAATAAAAAATATATTTTATAAATAATATATATTATAAATAATAAAGATAATAAATAATGTATATATATATATATATATATATAATATATATATATATATATATATATATATATATATGTAACAAATAATATATGTAACAAATAATATATATAATAAATAATATATATAATAAACAATATAATAATAAATACTAGCACAAGAAAACTTTTTCTTGCGCTAGATAAGTTTTATTCTATCATTTTTTATTAACATTAAAAAATTAAAAATTCAAACTAAGCTTAAAATTGAAAAAAAAAAAAATTTAGACCACGATTTAACATCAATAATGAATTAAAAGGGCAAATTTTTAATTTTATCAACTAAAAGCTTATTTGTATTACCTGGACAAGTTGCATTTAAATAACAAGTTCCTATTTCAATGCTGTTTCCAACACATGAATTGACAGCACCAAGACATACTCTTGTTCTACTCATAGTGCCATTACCACAAGATACATTACAATTAGACCATGCACTCCAACTAGCCCAACTTGAATCAAACCCTTGCAAAAAAATGCAAAAAATGTTTTAGTCAAATTTAGCAAACTAATCAGAAGAATTCTCGTGCAACTTATCTGATTAGCTATGTATAAACTTATCTTATTATCTATGTATGAACTCTATGTAGAAATCTGATTATCTATGTCTGAACTTATCTATGTAGAAAAAAAAAATGAACTCTGTTTTGTTTGTTTTTTAATGCATTAATTTAGTTTTAATGTTTTAATAAAGCAAATTAACTTTAAGTTAGTCAAGTTTAATTTGAATAAAAAAGAAAACAAATTTTTACCAACTTTATTTTTCTATATTAACAATCAAACTAAGATCAACAACTACTTAATCTGAATTTTCAACTCCCAAAGACAGAGGGGGTTACTATGATCAGGTATGACTGCATTGAAGCTAAAGTTTGTTGTAATTTTTTTTTTATTGAATTTTGTGTCATTTCATTCAGTGACATTTTTCACTCTTTGGAAGTTTAAGTGGAAAATTTAGAAGTATTAAAAGTTCTAGATAATATTTTAAAAGTTGAAAGACCAAAAAAAGTTAAAAGACCAAAACAACATTTTTTAAATTATAATTAAACTTGTAAGACTTATAATTAAACTTATAAAACAAGCTATACTTGAAAAATTGCATCAATTTGAGCTCAAGACTATTTGATTGACTCATTAACATGTAAATTAAACCATATTGACTGAATGAATGGCAAAAATAAAATGAATGAATAACAATAAAACATTTCTTTTCTAAAATAAAACCATGCCACTTCCCAGAATCTTTCTGTTTTGAATATTCAAAATGTAATTGTATAAAATTTGTTAATAATGTGACTGTGAACCATGTTTCTGAAACTGAAATAATGTGTGGCCAATTTAATGATGCTATTCTAGTTTGAAATTTTATTTTAGTTATTTAGTTATTTATCTTAAAAAAATAATTAAAATAAAGACATACTAAATGAACTAGGTGCGCTAAATGTGTTGAGACAACTTACAACAAATTTTATTGTTCATATAATGGAGATGGGGGAGTATTGGTACAGAGGGAGCATTAGTAAAGAGCCAAATATTTAGCTGTTTTAAATTAATTTTAACCTTTGAATGCAGATAGTAATTAAGTAGTCGATATTTTGATTTTTTTCACGGTTTGTTGTGTTTGGCAAATACTTTTTTTGAGTTTGTATTAATGTTTTAATAACTAAAAATTTAACTTTTATTCTAAAACTACAAATAAAATTTTAAAAATTTCATAAAAAAATATTTCCCTTTGAAGCACTCACTAGTAAAGGGTGAGGATTGGTACATTGAAATCGGAAAGTATTGGTACAGACTATTTTTTTAAATCTGTTCTGTAAATTATATATATACTTGGTTCACTACAACAGGTGTAGAATGAAGAACAGGTTTAGAATGAAGTTTGTAGAAAAAACTAATTAAGGCATAGACTAGTAGCTAATAAGCTAATAACTCTTTAATAAATATAATTTTTTTAAATAACATTTATTATATTTCAGATCAATAAATTTAGGATTCCTATCAAAATCAATAATAAAATATTTTAGTTTAAACATTTTGTTAGCTTATATAGACTGAACATAATAAAGCCTCAAATTTTTTCCGTGTTGTACGAAAGTACAACTCATGATAGATTGTTTTTGTATGATTATTTGTGAAAATTACTTGGAAGTTTGTATCTGGAAAACTCACTGAATCTTAAGTGAATAGTTTCTCCTACCTGTTCCCTGTAAGTTCCCAGTCTGTATCCATTATTTCTACAAAACTCCTTTACATGGCAAAATAATATATGAAGCAATATGAAGCATATGGCAAAGTTTGGTACTCTTTGTTTTGATCTCCAAAGTAATAAAAATATCAAAAAAATCATCTATTGCTTTTTCAAAATCTATACTGAGTATCTTGCTATAACAACAGTTATACCAAGATACTCAGAGCCACATTATTGAAAGCATCAAAGGCATCACAAAATCCCCTAAGATCTTCAGGAAGAGCATTTCTAAGCTTATTTGTTAATCTCATCAATTTCTTACACTGGTTCCCTTCAAACTCTCCACCTTGAAGATTTTGTTGGACAAGGCAATTCCGTTCTAAGAAGATTTCCCAATTTTCTTTTCCCCATCTTGTTGATAAGTTATTCCAAAATAAATTAATTGTTCCTGTATAGAGATGATGTTCAGGTATATTGCATACCTACATAACTTCAATTTCATCATCTCCTGGCAGAAGTGGTTCATTCTTGCAATTATAAAATTCTTTCAGTGATGAGTCAGAATTACATCCTTGTTTCCAAACAAGATGTATCACCTTTCTCTTTGTTCTATTCGCTCTTCTTCATCTCAAGACTGCACTCTTCTTGATCTTATTTCTGATTATATTGACCGAGCCTTCATTCTTTATCCATCAGCCAATATTGTTGTTGTCAGTGACTTTAATGCTCATCACACTGGATGGATTGGCTCTAGTGTCAGTGACTCTGCAGGCATTAGAGCCCACAATTTTTGCCTTTCTCAATCCCTAACTCAAATAGTCAACTTTCCAACTCGCTTTCCAGACAACCCCAATCATTAACCTTCACTACTCGATTTATGTCTTGTTTCTAATCCTAGTCAGTGCTCAGTTTCACCACACTCACCCTTAGGTGCTTCTGATCATGGTTTGGTCTCTCTAAAACTATTATCTCATTCTTCTTTATCATCAGAATTCCCCTATCATTGTACATCTTACAACTACCTTAAAGCTGACTGGGACTCTTTTCATGATTTTCTTCATGATGGCCCCTGGGTAGAAATCTTTTGTCCTCCTGTTGACAAATGTGCTTCTTACATAACTTCGTGGATTCAGGCTGGCATGGAATCCTTTATTCCCTCTCGACGATTCCAGGTCAAGCCTCACTCTTCTCTATGGTTTTCCTCACATTGTGCTGCTGCAATTGTTAATCGAAACCATTACTTCCATATCTATCAACAAAACTATTCTCCAGAAAACAGACGCCTGTTTATTACTGCTAGGAACCATTGTAAAAAAGTTTTGTCTAACGCCAAGGCCCGCTATTCTCAAATCATAAAATCTCGTATTTCATCACAAAGTTTAGGCTCCCATGACTTCTGGAGAATCTTTAATAGAATCAATGATAAGGGCAAGTCTGTAATTCCACCTCTTTTGTATGGTTCAGACTTTGTCACCTAACCTAAAGACAAAGCTGAATTGTTTGCCAAAAACAATTCAGCTTTGTCTTTAGGTTCATCAATATCATCTCTTGTCTTTAGGTTCATCAATATCATCTCTTGATTCCGCTAGTTCCAATCTACCTGATATAGCCGTCAAACAGGTTGATCAACTGCTCGACATCCGTATCACTCCAACTTCTGTATCTAAAGTGATTTCCTGCTTAGACTCTTCTACAGCTTGCGACCCAGACAACATACCTGTTATAGTCTTGCAGAAGTGTTCTCTGGAGCTGTCGTCTATCCTTTAAAAGCTATTTAACAAGTGCTTATCAGAGTCTTGTTTTCCAGCCTGCTGGAAAGCAGCATCTGTTATCCCTATTTTTAAAAATTCTGGAGAGCGATCTGATTTGTCTAACTACCGTCCCATTAGTCTTCTTCCTATCATAAGCAAGGTTTTTGAATCTTTAATTAACAAACACCTTATCTCGAATCTCATAACCTACTTTCTGATAATCAATATGGATTTCGATCTTCTCGTTCTACAGCTGATTTGCTAACAGTAATAGCCGATAGGTCTTATTGCGCATGAGATAAAGGTGGAGAGGAGGTTAAGGCTATCGCTCTTGACATTTAAAAGCGTTTGATAAAGTTTGGCATGCTGGTCTTCTTCATAAGCTTTCTTCTTACGGTGTATCTGAAAACATCTTTAAGATTATTGAATCCTTCCTTTCCAATCGTAGTATAAAAGTTGTCCTTGATGGTCAGCACTCTTCTTCTTATTCTGTAACCTCAGGGGTTCCTCAAGGTTTAATCCTTGGCCCTATACTCTTTTTAATTTACATTAATGATTTTCCAGATATTCTCACATCTAAGGTGGCATTGTTCGCTGATGATACTACCATTTTTTCTTGTCACGATAAGAAGCCAACTCCCTCTTATTGCTTGCAGGGGGCATCTGAGCTTAAAAAGTATCTCACTTCTGCTACAGCATGGGGCTCACAGTGGCTGGTGAACTTTAATTCAGATGAAACTCAATTTTTTTCAGCCAATCGTTATCGCAGTAATTTAGACCTTCTTATATTTTTGAACGGTAATGTACTCAATGAGTCTCCTACCCTTCATCTTCTAGGATTAACTCTTACTTCTGATCTTTCTTGGAAATCTTATATCAAATCCGTTGCAAAATTAGCATCTACTAAAGTCGCTTCTCTTTATCGAGCTTGTCACTTTCTTACTCTGGATTCTATTCTCTATCTCTATAAATCTCAAATCCGGCATTGTATGGAATACTGTTGCCATATCTGGGGTGGATCTTCAAATGATGCCCTTTCTCTTTTAGACAAGGTGCAAAAACGTATTGTAAACATAGTTGAACCTGCCCTTGCAGCCAACCTTCAACCACTGTCACATTGTTGTAATGTTGCTTCTCTTTCTCTTTTCTACAAATACTATAATGGGCACTGCTCTAAAGAGCTAGCATCTCTTGTGCCATCTACTAAAATTCATTCTTGTGTTACTCGTAATTCAATTAAGTGTCACCCTTTTTCTGTTACTGTTCCTAAGTGCTGCAAAAACTCTTATTCGTCTAGTTTTTTTCCTCGAACATCAGTTCTTTGGAATTCTCTTCCTTCATCTTGCTTTCCTGATTCATATAATTTGCAATCTTTTAAGTCGTCTGTCAATTGTTATCTTGCTCTACAATCTTCATCTTTTCTCTTCCAGTAACTTCCAACACTAATTAGTGGTTGCTTGCAGCCTTGTTGGATGCGAAGATGTTAAAAAAAAAAAATCTTCTAATGATGCCCATTCTCTTTTAGACAAGGTACAAAAACACATTGTAAACATAGTTGGACCAGCTCTTGGAGCCAATCTCTAGCCATTTTCACATCATCATTATGTTGCTTTTCTTTCTATAAAGACTTTAATAGGCACTGCTCTAAAGCACTGCTCTAACATGATAATGAATATTTACTAATATTCATTATCATGTTACTTGTCATTCATCTTTTTTCTGTGACTGTTCCTATGTGCTCCAAAATCTCCTATTTGTCTTGTTTTTTCCTTGAACAGTGATGATCTAAAGTTTAAAGAACACATAAAGAACAATGCTTTAGTGCTGCATAGTGTCAAGTAAGTCTGCATGGAGTGGCATTATCATTAACTTTGTTAGGATGTGGGCATCTCCATAGAGAAGGGGTCAAGTGGTATATTGTTATGGCACCCAAGTTTGTTTAGGTGCCAAAAAAAAAAATAAGGAAGCTAAAAAAAGTCCTGTAAACTCTTTTGTTGTGTACTTTTTCAGAAGCAAAAACAGGCCGGCAAATATTTTTGCCCAGAGATTTGTCTTGGCTGATGACGACAACTTGTGACATTGTATGGTATAAAATGATGCTATTGCATGTTAAAACATGTGATAAGCAACCAGCAAATTCTTTGGAGGTTAATCAAGCATTATTCAACATTGGTGAAAATTAATGTTAACCAAAGAAGTTGTTCTTAAACAAACCATTAATTAAAGATTTAGGTCATTTAGAGACAGTGTTAATATGCAAAATTTAGATTATTTTGCAAAAAAATGAAAAAAGAGCCTTAAAAAAAAACATCTTAAAAACTGTTTTTGGCAATTTTTAATTTTAGTAATAACTTTTAAACGTAATATCTTTATATTGGTTAATAATTTGCACCTGAAATTTTTAAGGTATCCTCAGTATGCTTCAGAAATTTGGTTAACAGTTGGGATTTTAAATATAACTGTTAAATTTTTTTAATAAAGAAATGAGTTCACATGTCAAATCACCTTGCATTTCAAGCAAATTTTCAATAATTCTTGATTAAATTTAAAATACACTCTAAAACTAAAATTTATACTATTATAAAATAAAAAAATTTTTATTTAATAAAGTCTTAATTCTGAAACAAGAAGCATGATTTTTTAGTTCTTGGTATATGACCATAAAAAGAACATTGTTGTGGATGCTCTACTGTAAGGCGATCACAATGGAAGTTACTATATTAAGTTGACTGTAACATTATTTTGACAATCAGTGTTATATGTCGTTATAAACATAGTAAAAAGTGATGGAGCTCAGTACACAAAGTTTTCTTAATCCTTACAACTTTGAAAAACAATTTTGAAATGGTTGCAACGCAATGAGGGTAGACTCATAGGTCTTGTATGCACCAAGCTTCATTTTTTTTTGATTACAAACACAAATCACTTTTTAAAAGAAATTGTTAGAAAAACATTTGCTTTGAGTCGACTTTGAATTTAATTTATATATAAAAAACAAATATTTATAACAATGCTTAAAAGTCATTTGTAGATTAAAAACAATATCAGTCAGGGGCTTTTTCTCTACTGTTTTCGCCAGTGTCGACCGTATTTAGGTGCGGCAAAAAAGAAAATTTGAGGACATTTTTTTTCAATACATTTTTTACAGCGAATATTGTTTTTTTTGCTGCACAAATTTTTTTCCTAGAATTTTTTTTCTTTTTTTTATGCAGTTTTTCATTAAAAAGAAAATTTTTAAAACTGGAAAACTTCGTCAACTTTTGACATACTGAAAATCAATAAAAAAAATTAAAAACTGTATAATGACAAAAATGTGATTTCATCTTTTCACTAAAATTTGTGTGTAAAGTATATATGTGTGTGTGTGTATATATATATATATATATATATTAAATATCAGGCTTAATCGGGAAGCGGGAGCGATCACTCTCGATTGCTGACCACGTAAATAATATTTAGTTGCGAAAAGCTGGCCAGATTTTTTAGTCGTTTTGAGAACATTTTAAAAAGCAAAAAAAAAAAAGCAACGAAGATTAAACCGATGAGAGACAATTACAAAAAAAAAAAAAAAAAAATAGACAAATAAAATATCTTTAAACGCGAAAAAATTTAAAGCTAAATAAATTACATTTAGAACAAATATTTTCGAAACATCGCTTTTTTATAATTTTTTTTATAAAATTAAGCGATGTTTTTTATAGAAACATCAACTTTTTATAGAAACATACAACCGTCAACTTAAACGATTGTTTAAAAGGGAAACAAATATTCTTTATTAACTAAGTTTGCAAGTTTTAGTTTTACTTAAGCTTAATTTATTTTATAAATAAAAAAGTTAATTTTTTTAATACCTATTTTATGTTTCGCGTGGTTTGAAAAGTTTAACATATTTGAAGCGATTCTTCTTAGTAAGATAAACAAATGAAATAATTAAATCATTGAATTACTATAAGAATTAAATTATCAAGATAGAAATCAACTAAAAAGGTTAAAAATACTTAATGACCAGGAAGCGAAACTGCTTTACAATATCGCTGATGATGTTTAGTGAGTGGGCTTTTAAATTTTAATTAGTATTTAAAGCAGAAAAAAGTATAACGAGTTTTAAGAATGGCAACTTAAGCGAAAATAATTAGAGTTAGTAAACCAATATCTAGAAATTTTTCTTTATATCTAATTATTTGCTATATATATTTGTGTTCTGTCGTGACCTCAGGCGCAATGCTTGTTCATCCGCGAGTTACTTTGTATGCGTTGTTTGTGTTTAGTAACCAGAAACTTCTTATATGTTAGTTACATAATTAGTTTTATTAACTTTAACGATTATAACTTCATTGAAAACGCAATTATTTTTTTAAGTCTTTGTTTAAATCATAAAAATTGCTTTAAAAGATACATTACGAAAAAAAACAAATACACAAAATTACATTTACATAAAGAATATGATCTCTTTTAAAATAATAAATAAGAATATACTAATAAAATCTATGATTTATAATAAACTTTTAAAATTTTAACAATCTAATTAATATATATATATATTTAAAACATTTATTTTCGTAAACAAATAATATATATTCTTAAAACAATGCTAAAAATCTCAAAACGTAACAAATCGTGAATAATACAATTTCTAAAACATTTTAACAGAATACTCTAGAACTTAATTTCACTTAATCAGCGTATTTTTTGAACCAATAGAATTAGTTTGTTCGTTAATTTGGCGGGTTTTTAGTGTTCGCAAATATTCTTTTTATTCTTTTGCACAAAGATGTTTTGAGAACATTCAAGTTTTTTATGTTTCAATGTATATCCGTAAAACAAAAATTTTTTGTTTCGTATATAAACTTAAATGTTCTCAAAACGACTAAAAAACCTGGCCAGTTTTATGCAACTAAATATAACTTCCGTGGTCATTATTCGAGAGCGATCGATCCCGCTTCCCGACCAAGCCTGATTAATAATACATATATATATATATACATACAAGGCCGGCGCGATAGGGGTGTGTGGGGGGGTGTAACACCCCCTCCCCCATCAACGACTTATAGTCGGCAAATTTGAGCCTTAGTCGGCAAATGTGACCCTTTTTGACTAGTTAGTCGGCAAATGTAGACCCTGTCGATAGGTTAATCGGTAAAGTCAGTCGGCAAATGACGTTATGGCAGTCGGTAAATTTAGTCGATATATACATATATATATATAGTCGGTAAGTTATGGCAGTCGGTAAATTAAGTCGGTATATACATATATATATATATATATATATATATATATATATATATATATATATATATATATATATATATATATATATATATATATATATATACATATATATATACTAAATATATGTACTTAATATATTATGCACATATACAAGATATATGCATTAAATATATTCAAACTATTTATTGGTATTATTATTATTTATTGGTATATTTATATCTATAAATTGTTTCAATACAACTTTTAGATGTTAAAAGATAGAAAGGCGTTATTTAAATAGAAAGCTGATAAAAAATTAACATTTATTTAAATAGTTTTTTCAAAAAAAGAAATATATTTATAAAACATGCATAGCAGCACTCTTCTTATTTTCTGATATCTAATATTACTCTGCGGTAAATATTTTAATGGCTGAACTAAATTAATAAAAACGGCAAACGACAATTTAATAAAAAACCTCTTTATAGAAACTCTACCTTGCGATGTGGCTTTTCTATACATAATGTGTCGGATTTCTACACATTTAAGTAGTATTTCTATATTGCGTCAAGTTTCTATACAAATTTGTCATGTTTCTATACAATTTTTATAGAAACTCTACACATTCCTCTTGTTATCATCATCATCATCATCATCATCATCATCATCATCATCATCGTCACCACCATCACCATCACTATCATCATCATTATCATCATCACCATTATTATCATCATCATCACTAAAATCATAATCATCATCATCATAATCATCATCATCATTATCATCACTAAAATCATAATCATCATCATAATCATCATCATCATCATGTTCAATGCTAACATCATAATCATCATCATCTTCAGCGCTAGTTATTTTACTTTAAATTAACTATTTATCAACTACTTTTTTAATAATTGATAATTGGTTAATTACTTTTATAGTTATATTACATATATAAATTTCACATAAATTACCGGAACAAAAACCCCACAGCTTATCTTTATTGTAATTAGTGGTTGTTGCACACCAATATGAAGTCCTGCCATTTGTTGTACAGTTATAATATAATTTTCCTGAATAAAAAAAAGGAAAAGAGCAACAAGCACCATTTGAATTTCCTCCGTATGTGGTTTGCACACAAGAACCTAAAAGAAAACTTAAAAATTAAAAAACAATTTTTATATAAAAAATATATCTTGTTATACAAAAAACATAATACTTGAATCTTTTTTTTTTTAAGTTCAATGTCTATTGCTTAGGTGATTTAGATGGCTTCCATAATGATATTTTTTTACTTAATAATGACATTATGGAGAAACAATTTTTTACAACTGATGAAAGAAATTTCTAAATGATGATGTTCTAATTTTAACCTGATTCCAGGTTGAATTTGCAGGTCAGAATATTTTTATTGTAATACTATCACTAAAAAGAAAATTAAGGTTTACAAGCTATTTCTACTACCTCCTTCTCTTATTCATAATTGATTTGGAGGTATATCATAGCTTTCCCACTCCTAGTTAAGTTGCCTTTAACACAGCTAAGGAGCCTCATTTTTATACACAATTTTACACATAAACATTAAAATTAAAATTCTTTAAAAAGCAAATTGAACTTAACGCTCCTTAACACATTACATAACTTAACACTCCTTAACACATTACATAAAATTATTTACATTCTATTTCATATTTTTTATTAAAAATCTTTAATTAAAAAAGAAAATACTGTTGCATAAGTTATACAAAAAGCACCACCTTTTTTTATGGTAATTTACCTCCCCAAGGCCAAGAAGGCCACTAAAAATGATGTGGCTACTTAATTTTGGCTTTAACCCTCTCTCAACTCTAACTCCAAAACAAAAACCTTGACAAACAAAGCAGCTGCACAGAGGAACAAGTTGGGAGGGGTACTACCAGGGACATGGTGGGAATAAAACTTGGAACCTCTCAATTATGAAGCAAGCGCTCTACCACTACACAATTACTGCTTTAGGCAGTTTTCTAATTTATCTTGCTTTATTCAACTTATATTTTTTATTTTATTTTGATTAAAAACTAATAAACTTTTATTTGTAACTCTTGTTGCAAATTGTTGTTAAATGTTTTGTTAAAATTTATGTTCTGTTAAATGTAATGTTCTGCTAAATCTAGTGTTCTGTTAAATGTAATGTTTTTTTGCTTTTAACAAGGCTGCAAACAACCACTAATTAGAGTTTAAAGTTACTTGAAGAGAAAAGATGAAGATTGTAAAGCAAGATAACGATTGACAGACGACTTAAAAGATTGCAAATTATATGAACCAGGAAAGCAAGATTCAAAGGAAGCGAATTCCAAAGAACTGATGTTTAAGGAAAAAAACTAGACAAATAAGAGTTTTCAAAGCACTTAGAAACAATCACGAAAAAAGGATGAGACTTAATTGAATGCTAAGTAACACAAGAACAAATTTTAGTAGATGGCACAAAAGACATTAGCTTTTTAGAGCAGTGCCCATTATAGTATTTGTAGAAAAGAAAAAGAGAAGCAACATTACAACAATGTGATAATGGTTGTCTAAAAGAAAAAGAGCATCATTAAAAGATACACCCCAGATATGGCAACAGTATTCCATACAAGGACGGATTTAAGATTTATAGAGATAAAGAATAGAATCCGGAATAAAAAAGTGTCAAGCACAATAAAGATGTGCAACCTTAACAGATGCTATTTTTGCAATCAATTTGAAATATGGTTTTCAAGAAAGATAGAAAGTAAAAGTTAATCCTGGAAGATGAAGGGTAGATGACTCTTTGAGTACATTATCATTCATAAAGGAAGATCTAAATTATTGCAATCATGATTGATTGAAAAAAAATTTTCTGAATTAAAGTTCACCAGTCACTGTGAGTCCCATGCTGTAGCAGAAGTGAGATACTTTTCAAGCTCAAATGCCCCCTCCAAGCAATCAAAGAGTGTTGGCTTCATACCATGACAAGAATAAATGACAGTATCATCAGCAAAAAATCCTACCTTAATCATAGGAATATCTGGTTTTGCTAAATGTAATGTTCTGTTAAAGGTAATGTTCTGTTAAAAGTAATACTTCATTAAAAACCAACAATAAACCAACAATTTATATCATGACCCTATAATAATATAAATTGTTTTGCAACTGAAGTTTTAAATAGTCATTAATAATATTATTTTGGTAAAAACTTTACACAGCAGTTTATTAATACGCTTATACTTATATATTTATAAATATAAATAAATATATTCATATTTTTTATTTAATGAAAAAATTAAATAAAACTTGACTTTAAAACCATTTCATAAAGCACCTATAGATGTTGGGATTATTTTATACTTTTGTAATAATATAAGATCAAAGTAACTAACCACCTTGAAACAAATAACACCTGGACAAAATATCATGTAAAAATATAAAACAATCATATAAAATATAGTTACATATAAAATGTATTAGTTTTTTCTATTCTACAGAGAGTGTAAACTTAAAGAAAAATTTCTTAAAGAAAAATAACTCACAAATTAATTGAAGTCAAAGAAAAAAAAAATTGTTATTAACTAATTTATATTTTTTTCTTTCTCTATTTTTATAATATACTATTTCTATTTATTTCTAATCTAATAATAATAATAATAAACAGTTGCATTTATAATGAGCCCTTCACTTAATGCCTCTAAAATTATTTTTTCTTTTTTGTTTTTGGTAATTTATATATTAGATAACAATTAAATCAAATTTAAAACTTAAAAGTTTCAAATCATAACCTTACTCCTGATTTTATTTCCTCTTAAACCTTTTAAATGAACTTTTTACAAAAATAAATTTAAAATAATATGTCAGAATATGGAGTAATGTAGCAGAATATGGGCTGATAAAATTATGTAGCAGAACATGGGCTCGCTGATCTGTTCTTCATTTTCATATAACTCGGAAAGATGTTGTGTGCTCATTAGTAAAAAACGTGTTGCACATATTTTTTACTGAAATCATTTGTTTTGAAGCATGGTTTTAAATTAAACTAAATAAGTTACTTTTACACTACCTGTACAGCTGCTATAGCAACTTAGTTTATCAATTGTACTTCCAACACAAAAATTGACATCAAAGCATACTCTAGTTCTGCTCACAGTACCATTACCACAAGACACAGTGCAACTAGACCATGCACTCCATTCTGACCAACTCCACTCAGATCCTTCAAAAAAAAAATTTGAAAATTTAATGTCATAAGTTGATTGAACATATTAATATATATATATATATATATATATATATATATATATATATATATATATATATATATATACATATATATATATATATATATATATTATTATTATTATTATTATTATTATTATTATTATTATTATTATTATTATTATTATTATTATTATTATTATTATTATTATTATTATTATTATTATTATTATTATTATTATTATTATATATTATTATATTAACATATTAATATAAATATTTTAATCACTTAATATAGTAAATACTAAAAACACTAAATGTATTAAAAATTATCAGATATTTAAAAAAATAAATTTATCAAATACTTTAAACAGTTAAATGTTTAAACTAAATATATTATAAATATTTAAAAATATATATATCTAAAATACTTTAAGTATTTTATACAAAAAATTAAAGAAAAATCAAATTTTAAATATAAACAATATAAAAATTAAATATAAATAATATAACAATTTTTAACAAATCAAAATTGTTTTTCATCAAACTACAGATATTGTTAAATAGATGTAAGAACAAGATTACATAAATTGTAAATTGTGGCACATCAGTCTAAATTGTGGCACATCAGTCTAAATTAATTGTAGCACTGAAATGATTTGATGGTAACATGGTAACTGTGTAAACATTGAAGAGCATATTTTTTTAATTATGAAGAAAAGCTAAACTCTAATATATTCTAATACATTTATCATATTTTTCACCTGATTTTTCTGCTATTTGTTCAGCTTTGATTTTTGTAGTAAACTTTATATTCTGGACCCCAGACCTCCAGAGGTTATAGAGAAAATAAGTAGCATAAAGTTTTATGTGATGATGAATCTCATCAAAAATAAAATACCTGCAATGGTGTGATGTCAAATCAAATCAATTATTCTGTGCTTCACAGAACAACATTTTATTAAATTCACCTTTTTTTTGGGCCTAATTTAGACATTTTCTGGAACATGTTACTAAATTTATATTTTAGACTTGTTTTGATGAATATTGTTTTATCTCTTTACACTAGAAACTTTTTCTTCAATGTTTCCATTCCAAATCCTAACTTTTAACTACAGCTTCCCGATATCTTTTTCCTTCAGTTGTAAAATTGATTTTGATAGTTTCAAAACTTTTGCTTTATTAAGGTTATAGTGACAGTAACCTATGATTTTGATAGGCGTATTTTGCTCTTTCAGTGACCATAGTATCCCACTATGTTTCTAGGGGTGTAAGTTTGTCCAAACATGATCCATCATCAGCATACCATACTTGTTTTTTATTTGTGTGGTAAAAAATTAAGCTTAATGGTAGAGGATCTCCTTCTAAGAAGACCCCATTTAGACCAGGTTTAAATACGGTAGCGGTGTAGTGGTAATGCGCTTGCCTCATAAGTGAGAAGTTCTGAGTTCAATCCCCACCATGTCCCTGGTAGTACCGTGCTCAACTTGTTTCTCTGCGCAGCAGCCTTTTTTGTCAAGGTTCGTGTTTGGGAGTTATAGAGTTGAGCAAGGGTTGTAACCACAACTAAAGTAGCTTCGTCGACTGTAGTGACCTTCATAGTTTTAGGGAGGTAAATTCAAATAAAAATTAAAAAAAAATTATATTTTAAATGTTATTGGACCTGTTCTGACAGCCAAGTTTGAGCCTCTGTTCTATTGCTGTAATGTTGCATCTGTTTCTATTGGAGAATTTGACTCAACCATAGTTAGAGTATAATACCCTAAGCAATAGATTATGTGATTGCTTATCAACTTAAAGTAAGAACTAATGGCTCATTATGCGATCTCAACAATGCACACCAAAAACACTAACAGGTACAAGTTCAGTTTGATACACTGTACTTTAAATACTCTAATATTTTCATCTGTTAATTTTTCCTTGAGAGAATTTTTCCATCTCTTAAGCGTTTGCTCAGGAGACTTTTTACAAAACAGTATTCAGATGCAGCTGCAGAAGGCAGTTATTTGTCCAGGATAACTATTTTTATTGAGACACTATAAGTTTTATAATAACTTAATTTTAAACACTTTTAGTATTTAATTTTAATAAACAAAAACTTTTTGTTTATGTAAAAAATTTGTTAACTTCATAATGTAGTCCGGGGCTAATTAGAATGTGGAGCTTATCTGAACAGTTTTTTTTTTTTTCTGACCTTTTTTTATGCACTATTCTTCTTAAACCTGATCTATATAAAGTAGACTGGCTTAATGGCAATAAATGATATTCATTCTTTCAAAAAAAACATTTGCATTTTCTTATAAGGGGTCGTCTATAAATTATATAATACTCTAATGATGGAGGGGGGAGATTAGTGGTTTTGTGATGATTAATACAGGACATGTTACTAAAGTTACTAAAAATTATGTTGTGATGAGGGAAGGGGAAAGGGTCAAAAAGAGTCAAAAAACTATTGACGTACCGTATGGACAACCCCTAATGGCTAAATTTTGAATTTTTTTGAGAGTTTTAACTTTTTTTTTTTTAATCATTTATTTGTTTTATCAAGATAGTATTTAATATCAAAATTTATACTTTTTATAATTTTTAAATCATTTTATAAATTTTTAAATTATTCCATTTTTTGGTGAAACTTTAAACAAACACACCAGTATTTTAGAGGTTGAAAAATGATTTTGACATTAAAAAATGGCTAATCTAATAACATTTAGAGTTTGTCTCCATATTACATATTTATTTAACAAGTTATAAGTAAAGTTATAAGTAATTGATAAGAAATTAATTAAACCTCAACTTATATTTATTTGTAGGACTTCAGTTATTGAAACTGAAGTCCTACACAATAAAGCTCTGAAAACATATCAGCCTTACTATGCTTATTATATTTACTTCTGAACTTAAGAGATGCTTTGTAAATCTTCAATGTGACATTTTAAAAACTTTTAGTCAGCTGCAGCTGTTCTTAAATGATGGGTGGCTGCGTATTACTGTATATTAACACCACAAAAAAGCTCAATGTTGCATAAAAGAAAATCTTATCTCCTTTGAAAATAATTTGGTTTCTAAGATATAGCACAATTTTTGGATCAGGCTAAGCTTGAAAATTTTACTTGACACATTAAATGTAAAAAAAAAAAGTTAAAGTCTTTAAAAAATAAAATAAAACAATGTTTAGAATAGCCCTGCACTACCTTGACAACTTTAAACTATTTTTCATCAAAAAATAAACTTTGCTAATTCCAATAATGCTGTGTTAAATACAATCTTGCTATTGTCATCCACAAGTTGTGATTATGTCAAAATATGTCACAACAAAACAAAATCATAAAAAAACTTATAACATAACAAAATATAAAAAAAAATAAACTATAACAATAAAAACAAATTATAGATTGCAGAAAAAATCAATCTATTATATAATTGTTTTTATTAGGTATAAACATAACTTTAGATAAACTTAGTCAAGAGGAATTTTGTTTCTCTTATTTTGACCACACTTAGAGTAAAATAAATTTTAAAATTTGTTTAAAACAAGGAATATGCTTTATATTTTAATAGGTTATACCTAAACAAGAACCCCACAATCCATCATTGTCGTAGTTAGAAGTTGTTGAACACCAAAATGAGACCCAGCCAACTGTTGTACAATTATAATAAATTTTCCCGGAAAAAATGAATGGAAAATAACAACAAGATCCATTAGCATTTCCTCCATATGTAGCTTGTGTACAACCTATAATAAAATAATTAAATTTTTTTAAGATAAAATAATAAACACGGTTTTTATGATTATGTTTTAAATTTTTCATCTAAACTTGATTCAATATATCAATAGTTACATGGAAATAGGCTGTATTTTGCATTTTTTGCACTTTTAAAGTTTATTCCATAAGTCTTTGACCTAGCAAAAGAATTTATCTTTAAGTATTCAGAAAATAGAGATAAAAAAATGTAACCTAGTGACATCTATAAATATTGTTTTTATCAACATTGTAAAAGGTTGTTTTTTCTCTCCTGTAAAATACATTCTATTGCTAAATAACTACCAATATTTTAACAAATATTAATCTTTAAAATATTATATTTTTTAACTTCATTATAATAAACTATTTTATTTCGTTGTATGTTATCGTACTAAAGATTATAAAAATATTTGATTGTAATTTCAAAATAATAAGCATCAAGATTTTAAAATATTATGCCAAATTTTTTTTGCACAAACAAATGTTGAGGTGACCTAGGTATAGGTATAATGGCCTGTTTAACATGTATAAGCTCAAAAGATTAACTCCATCTACATCAATGCAGTGCTGCATAGATATGGATAGAGGTCATATATTTCTGTGAAACATTCTTATCCATCTAAGTTCTTCTTTCCAAATTGGATGATTAAAAATTTAAAGAATAAAAGTTAGATAACTTAAAAGTTTGAAATTAAAAATTACAAAGAAAATAATCAGATGGATCATTAAATTAACACAAAATAAGACAGCCAACGATGCAAAATTTCAAACTTTATAAAGTAAAATTTTATTTTAATTGACCTAAATATGATCAACTTACCATTATTTGTCCCATTGTTTATACTTGCAAAGCTTTCACTTACATTATTTCCAACCACATAGAATAATAGGACTACGACCTTAAATAAGATAATTTTTAAATATTACTTTAATACATTTGTATATGTCAGGTTACATTTACACCCCCTGGTACATCTATACAGGGCTGCTGTTCTTTACTTTATACTATTTTTTCTAAATAAGACTCTAAAAAAAACAATAACAAAAACGTTTCATATTAAAAAAATTTAGAAATCAATTTAAGGATATCAACATTTTTACAAATTCTGAATAAAAAAAATTAGATAAACTTAAATCCTGTTATTGTTTAAATATGGCTTAGCAAAGAGTAAAACCCTAGAAATTGAACTGAGTTTCCTACCCAATACAGACATGACAACTCCATGCCAGGTGGAGCAATAGTCTCTCATAGACCACCTAAAAAACTTCAAAAACTTATTGAGTTGGCACATGTATTCAAGAAAAGTAACTCCTGAAAATACCTTATGTGTGTTTTGAAAACACTATTTACATGGTGGATTATTTTAAATAAAATCTCTGTCTTCAAGCAAAAGTTTTTTTTATCTTTTTTAACAGGGAGTTTTTAAAATGGTTTTTAACTTTTGAACAAGTTGACTTGAGTTGGTTGCTATAGATACTTTTAGAAAGAAAAAAAGGTTCATCACTTGACTTTTGGCATTTTTATAATAGCAAAATTAAGTTGATATATATATATATATATATATATATATATATATATATATATATATATATATATATATATATATATATATATATTTATATATATATACATATATATATATATATATATACATATATATATATTTATAATAACAATAATAATAATAATAATAATAATAATATGTATGTATGTATATATATATATATATATATATATATATATATATATATATATTTATATATATATATATATATATATATATATATATATATATATATATATATATATATATACATATATATGTATGTATATATGTATATATATATACATGTATATATATATATATATATATATATATATATATATATATATATATATGTATATATGTATATATATATATATATATATGACATAATTTTTTTTTTAATGATGCCATAGTATAATATGTGTGTGTATATATATATCTAGCTAACACAAAACTGTTAAGTATGTTTAATGAACATTCTGAATGTTTGAGCACGTTTTTTTGAACATTTATAGAATTTTATATATATATATATATATATATATATATATATATATATATATATATATATATATATATATATATATATATATATATATATATATATATATATATATATATATATATGTATATATATATATATACCTAAAAAAATGCATAAACAAATAGCTTTAAAATCATATATTGACAAACAAATTAAGACAAATTAATATCAAATAAATCCAAATCACCCATTTTGGTTCGGCAATACAAAATACAAAGTAAATTAGTTAAAAACAAGGTGAGGTTAAAACGTATTGAATATGAAAAAAAAATCAGTGAAACATCAAAAAGAAATCCCAAGTTTTTTATAGTTATGTAAATTCTAACAAAAAAGTTAAAGGAGGAATAGCTTCAATGTTTAATGAATATAATAATATTGTAACAAATAGAGAATCTATAGCAAATATTTTAAACAATAGTTTCAATTCAGTTTGTGTTAACGAAGATAAACATAACATACCAAATATACCGCAGAAGACTGAAATTATTCTAGAAGTAGTTATAAATAATAAAATAACTTGCCATACTATTGAAAAAAATTTTTAAAAATTAGATGTTTACAAAGCTATCGGAGTAGATGGGATAAGCCCATATGTTTTAAATAAATGTCATAGTACTCTCTGTGAACCATTACATTTAATATATATAAAATCGTTGACTGAGAAAAAATTACCTGAACTCTGGAAATTAGCAAATATAACACCAATTTAAAAAAAGGTAACACGAACATTGCATCTAATTACAGGCCAATCTCATTGACTTCTATCCCATGTAAAGATTTGGAATCACTCATTAGAGATGAAATTATGGATTATCTAATAAATAACAGCTTATTAAATGAAAATCAGCATGGGTTCAGAAAAAATAAAAGCTGCACAACAAACCTATTGGAAACTCTTGATATCATAACAGATGCACTAGAAAATGGCCACTCAGTTGATATGTTGTATCTAGACTTTGAAAAGGCTTTTGATAAAGTACCACACTTGCGTTTGATCACTAAACTTCAATCATATGGTATTGTGAGAAATTATCTATGATGGATAGAGAACTTTTTAACTAACAGAAAACAGAGAGTGGTCCTTGGCGACACTGTCTCAGATTGGCTACCAGTTATTAGTGGTGTACCACAGGGGTCAGTTTTAGGACCACTGCTGTTTTTGATTTTTATTAATGATTTGCCAGATCAAGTCAAAAACCCTATTAAAATTTACGCTGATGATAGTAAAATAATAAATATTATAAAAAATCCAAATGATTCAATAAGCCTTCAAAATGATATAAATAATATAATGGCATGGTCATCTATTTGGCTCACAAAATTTAATTATGAAAAATGAAAAGTTTTGCATATTGGGAAAAAAAATCCAAATGCTACATTTATAATGACTGATATTGATTGCAATTACAATTATACATTGTGTAACACAAAAGCTGAACGTGATTTGGGTATAATGCTTCAATCCGATTTAAAATGACACTCACAAGTTGATTCAGCAACCAGCAAAGCAAACAGAATGTTAGGTACCATAAAGAGAAGCTTTAAATATTTAGATGTAAACATGGTAAAAATGCTCTATGCAACGTTCATACGTCCACATCTTGAGTTTGCGGTCCAGGCATGGTCTCCATTTTTAAAACAAGACATTGACAAGATTGAGAAAATCCAAAAAAGAGCAACCAAACTAGCACCTACAATTAGGAAATTATCATATGAGGCTAGGTTGAATATTATGCAATTAACGTCACTGGAAGGACGTAGACTACGTGGAGATCTGATTCAACAATATAAAATTTAGCACGGCCACGATAAAATAAATTGGGTTGCTAACGATTGTGGAAATGCATTGGAGGAGGGTCCATGTCTGCGACAACACAAATTCAAAATGAGGAAGCCTTTTAGCAGAAATACCTTCAGGTATCATTTTTTCCAAAATCGAGTTGTAAATGCGTGGAACAGCTTACCATCTGAAATAATAGAAGCTACTTCAATAAATAACTTCAAAAACAAACTAGACAGAGCTGGATTTTGCAAAAGCTATTTGTTAAAACACAAACAAAAGACAAAATGAGCTGTTACAGTGCAATATCTTATGTTATTGCACTTCGCAACTGTTTAAAACAGTTGTTACAGTTATACCTTATTATTATATTATATTATATATATATATATATATATATATATATATATATATATATATATATATATATATATATATATTATATATATATATATATATGTATATATATATATATATATATTGGGTTGCCAGATGTCTTGCTTTTACAAACCCTATATATGATTTCTGTAGTTTGTCTTAATTATGTGAAAGAGTTTTTTGACTTCTTTTGCTCTTTTAGAACAAAAGAAACGTTTCCTTTGAATTTCTTGTATTATTTATTTGTACTTATTTATGAATTGTATATGGAGAAAATTATTACATTTACATCCAATAAATAAGTTTTATATTATTAGCATTAGTTGAAAATATATTTTCATGAATTAAAATATCAGCCTAATTATCAAAAGTTACAAAGGTTTTTAAAAATATATTTCATTTTTGTTTGCTTGTTTGTGAAGAACAGTACAAACATAAAACTTGAAACAGGAAAACAAACATGTACAAACATTGAAGGAGTTAAACATTGAATACAAAACTTGAAGGAGTTAAACATTGGAATCATTCCTGTTTCAAAGTGTACAAAGACCTATCGTCTGTAAGGCATATAAGTTAAATGATTGTGAACTTGAAGATTTATCATGATTTTCCAAATTTTGTGGTGCTAGAAATAAGGAAGAAGATAAGAAAAGATGATTAGAAATTTGAAATACAAGAGAATACCTGTGCTGATCTTATTAACTCTAAACTCTTACAAACTCTACTGATTTTATGTCAAAAAATGTAAATTTAAGAGTGTTAAAGATGTTTTTGAAAAATATTTTTTTTATTGTACTGGTCTATCTATGCTAATAAATGAAGTGTTTTTCTTAAGGATATCAGATCTTAAACCTGTTATACATGTTTTTATTGAATGGTTGTTTTATTGAAATAGATGTTTAACATAGAAACCACAAGTACATAGTGGTAAAATAGGTGGTCATATTAGGTATAGTTTGAAAAGTAAAGGAGAATTGTCACTAAATGAAAACATTTTTTTAAATTTATGTAACTTAAACAAAGTTTACCTTAGCAAACTTATCAACATCATTCTTGATTATCTTAAAGTATCATATTCTTTATCTTCATTTAAGACACAACCTCCATTTAAAACTAGCACACCTAAAGTTTTTTTATTAAATATAAGAACCATACTGGAAAATACTTATGTTGTTATTGTAACAAACCAATAGATAAAGAAGTTCAAAGAACTTTCAGATTATTTGCAGATAAATTTGGAAAATGTAAAATTACAAAAAAAAGCCATTAATTCATGCCTACTAGATATGAAACTTACTGAGAAAATTATAAACTGAACTCCACCACTTGAACACCATTTTTATGAATACTATGTAAAATTGCTTATCTCTTATTTGCTAATAAAAATCTAAAAAACTTTCTTAAAATGAAAACCATTATCAGGCATTGCTATAATAGTGATGGTTTTGATGGATTAATATATTTATGGCAAAATTTTAATTTAAGTATTCTCTTTGAACTATATAATTAAAAATACATCAATTCTATTTTAATTTATGAACTTTTATTATAAATTTTCGGAACAAATGTTCGATTTATTCAAATGAGCACAGACTGTGCAAAAGCTGATGATGAGAAGAAACTACATTGAAAAAAAAAACTAAAAAAAAA